CATATTAAATCACAAAAAAAAGACAGTATAATATTTCATCGTACAAGTATATATTTTCTATTAGAAAGTATCGCCTAACAATTAGACAGCCTAATATTATCGTTTCTTAATTATTTTGTATATTGCAGTTATCGGTATAAAAATATGCATTATTTTTTTGTCATGTTAATGAAAAAACAAAATTTAAAGAGGGGCAATTTTCTTTTATCACAAACTATAATTTGAACTTAAGACTCACTCCAATGGTTAATTTGCGCTAAACTAGAGAATTTTTATCTCTACTTTTTTTTTTTAAATGTATTTTCATATAGTATTATTGGTAAATTTTTGTATCAGTGTACTACTAAATGTATTTATTATGTTATATAATTTTTTCTTTTTATCTATCGATGTATTATAATTCTATGTTACAATTATATCATGAAAGCAAAATTTTACAATTCACATATATCACAAAATACACAAATAAAAACACCATAATTAAAATTCGGATGGTTCCTTTTTTTTTTTCCCATATTATTATGTAATTTGTATTCATATGTTTTGAATTTATGAAACAGTCTCGTGTTATTATATATAAACATATTTATGTAATTTGGATTAAAAAATTATATAAGATTAAATATACATATATAATACAATTTAATGAAATAAAAATAAATAAAACATAATATATTTATTAATATATAGTAAAATGTAGCGCTCCACATGCTCTGAAAATGTAATTTGCCAACAAAAATGTGCATTGGGCTATTGGCCCATGCCGAAGTTCAGTGATCACTATATTCGGTCAGCATGCAAAAGAATATTCTTTAGCGGAATCAAAACCCACAATCTTTTTGGGCCATAATTATTATGGCCTCTTCATAGATGACATAAATAATAGGAGATGCTAGCATTTTTCAGTTTAGCTATTTCATGATTTTCTATTATTATAATTTTCCAAGATAAGTTAAATATTTAAATAATTATTATAATATTTAACAGTTGAAATATATTCACTTAATTTGTTGTAGTGAATTTTAAAATTACAATTAATTACTAGAAATATTTTGGTGACGTTGACTTAATTTTACTTGGAATCATTAGTACAAAAAAGTAAACTTATCAATAAATATGACTGGGTTACTTGGTAATGTTTGTAAATATAAGTAACTAATGAATACAATGCCCATGAAATACACGAGGTATTCAATAAAAAAATTTATTATGCAAAAAAAATTGAAATATAAATAAAATTTATATTCTTATTATGAAATAACAGTTTACAAATATGTTAGTAAAAGACTTGTAATATCTCTAGCCCGACCAACCCTTTTGGCGGGGTGGGTTAGGCCCGCCCGCAGTTTGAGACCCGTTTTGACATGTCTACACCTCGGATATCTGTACTTGATGTCGGATTCTGCAACCATTTTACCAACGGTCAGGGGCGTCTCCATAAATTTGGTGGCCCTAGACAAGTTTGTCATTGTCGAATTTTCAAATTTGAACTTGCGTGGTAATTAGGGCTATTTGTAGAATCATAGAAGAAAAAAACTTAATTAAACAAGATTATTAAATAAATAATTGAAAAAAATGATTTTTTTTTTTTTGTTTTTATAGACCTTGGAATTGATATATTACCTACAAATTATAAAGATCTTTAATAAATTATAATCAAACAGACAACAAGGAGAAGAAAATAAAAACCATATCACTGCAAATAATATTTATTATCACACAATTGTTCCGACCGAACATCATAAGAAAACAAAGAAAAATTTAGGGCCTCAATTTTCACACAAAGTATATATTTTGCCAAGTTATTTCATACATGCAAATAGGTCAAACCCAAACACAAATACATAATATTGAAAAAAAAAAATGGGGCCCCAAATATATGGGGAGGCCC